GCGCCGTGCTCCCGGAGGGCAGGTGAGAAGGTGTGAAGTAGGGAGACCATGTGACTGAAACATTCCAAGCCCCGGCATATTCATTGCGGGGTAGCAGCAAAATACGCGTGAAATTGGTCAGCCACATATTCTTCGTTATCCTGATGCCTAGTATGCTTGTGCAACGACTCATTCGGCAAACGTGCAGCTGTCATTGTAGCCATACGTACAAAACAGCGCTGGCAAACTACACATGGTTGCTATCATTTCCGCCGCGCTCGCCGGCTGAAAAAAAAAACTAAAAAATCTGAGGCTGTGACGTTCAAGGACCACGTGACTCGTCGTACTGCGCCTATTCCGCTTTTCAGGCGAGAGCACTGCAAACTGCTCCTGGCTGCTCTCGGCGCAGCAAAAGCACTCTCGCTCTACCAATGGATGACAGTGCTCCTGCACCTGTTCGACCACTGAAACACGCCGGCTCTGAAGAGAGCAAGCGTGCTTTTGAGTGCTCCTGCTCTCCCAATGGAATTCGCCATTAGTGACACTCTGTAGGGGGTGCTGGCAGGTGGGTATGATTGATTCATCGACAATGATGTGGTATTTGGTAATGGGGGTTCGTCAGACTTTGGATGATGTTGAAAAGCAAGCGGCGAATTCTGTTACGTGGTTATCTATTTGTCTCTTCTGGCTTATCCATAGTCGTTGGTCTATGTCAGTGGATGCCAGTACAGAAAGCATGTCTTGGAAATCAGGTGGTGACGCCTGAGGGGCTCAGGTTTGCAACTTCGGCCAAGTTTTGGATACTTGCATTGACGGTTCCCTTCGTAAGGTGTTGTAATTCATTCTCAAAGTTTGTCAGCAAGACGTTAGTACATCCGTCACGAAGCTGTACAAAGCCCCTTGTCATGCAGATTCCTTTTTCGAGTATGAGTGCAGTGTTGCTTTTAGCAAGCCCCAAGCCCTTTATGATGGCTAAACGCATTGCTTGTCACCCTGACAGCTATGCTGGAACACGGAGGTACCGTTACGTCGTCGTCCACAATACACATATCACTGGCTTGTTCTTCTGTGTGGAACATTGCAATCGCGTGCTTCGTTGAAAATAAAAGGCACGATTCCAGCAAGTTAATTACAGCACTAATAGCCTTCAGGAACACCTACCAATAACTACGTCTTTAGAGCATTCCGGCAGCATGAAACTGGTGACGTATGTGAAACCCCTTATTCAGTTTCTTGTCGTACACGTTTCAATCTGGTCGATAAAGTGTCCCCCTGCGCTGCTTACTTGAGGTATATTACAAGGAGTCAGTACCTTCTTGAGTGTTCTGGCGAGCTCGCAACTGATTACTGAGTAATCCGCCCCTGTATTCACTAGTGCGTTCACTTCTTATCTGTCAACAAATACACGCTAGTCGGAAGCGACATCATTATTACTGCATCGCCTTGTTAGTTCGTCGTTATCTCGTGGAGTCAGCAATGGAGGTTCTGTTTCAGCATCGGCAGTGGCCTTACCTCCACATGTCGCCGGCTCTAGTTTTCCCGACCCGGGCTTGGTGAACGGCGCCTTGAAGTTGGAGAGCCTGATAATCGACGGGGTCTCGGGGACCGATATCTTAACGGTGCTGTCGAGTGAGGCTGATTCTGCTGAAGGTCATTCCGGTACAGACGAGGCGACAGGTGCTGCTCCATTTCGAAAGGTCGACGCTCCTCGTTCTGAGGCCTAGCTGCATTCACTGCGAATCTTCGAAGCCCTGCCTTGCGGTACTGGCACATTCGATACAAATGGCCGCCCTCTCCACAGTGGTAGTTAAGAGGTACCCCGTCAGGAGTGCGCCATATATCAGTCTTGGCTCATACCCACAAGAGGGATTGGCCACGCATTACCTTATAACGAAAATTGAAAGACAATGCTTGTTAGAACCGGGAGGGTTCCTTCAGCTCATCCTCGCCACCTCGGCTATGAACATCGAGGAGGAAAAAAAAACATCAACCTTAACATACCGACCAAATAAAGTTATTTTCCTTCCTTCCTTCTTTAACTTACCGGCGCAGCTCGCGCGCAAATCGTCTTCATCGTCTTCTACACTGCTACACTTGGCGCGTCCACAGCCCCACGCCCCGCGCAACATGCCTTCGGTCGAGTGTATATGAACCGTCACTCATGAAGGCTATCTAAGCCCTCTGCCATCCCGAAGGCACCCCCGACTGGGCATCGCCACCTTTCGTGGGCTCCTTTAAGGAGACCGGGGGTCTACCCTCTCGACGGGCCGGTGTCCGGTGGCCGAGCGTCACGCCAGGGGGCCGGTCCAGCAGACGCAAACGCGGGAGGCGCCATGGACGGCTGGCGACGAAGACGATGTCCCCGTCACGTGAGAACGCTGTGGCTTCGCGTCGAGCTCGCGTACCGGTGCGCCACGCGGCATTCCATTCTCGGTTGTGGACCCGCAAGGACCGCACCTGGTAGGCCCAGAGTTCCTGCCGCTGTGCTAGCCCTTGCTCTCAATCGGCTTCCAGTTCTTCATCGCTACACCGAGGTCCCGATCGAGCGGCCGACATGTCTGCCGCTGATATCGCTATGGCGCTCGAGACCGTCGCGAAGGGCTCCCGCAGGCGGTACGTACGTCTTCGCGTTTCTTCGAACTTCATTGTTATTTTCTCGCCGGCTGCTAGTCGTGACTACGTCGTCCGCGGCCCGCATCTATTTTCGCGGACTACGAGGTCGCTTGACGCTCCTCATTGTGCGTCGTAGGAGAGAACTGTGGCGTGGCGGTAGCACTTATGACCTATTGACGTTCAGCTAGAGCACGTCATGTAGACGGAATAGTTTTTCGTGTGGCTCCGTCCCCGTGGGAAACGCTGCCGTGTAGATAACGAGCGCGAGGTTGCGTTCTTTTGGTATAATTGACCGACGGCGGGGTACCACTTTCTCTTGCTGCTGCAACAACCCTTTTTCACATAGATAGCGGCGCGCTTTTCTACTTTGTTCTTACGACAATTTATGCGATTTAATAGGTGTTGTTCGAGTAGCCTACTGAAGGCGGTTTTTGGTCGCCGCTTTGCAGAACAGAAATTCTTTCGACAAATAGTATCGCAATTTGGGTGATTGTGTCTTACGTCGTTGCCAACGCGTATGCTCACTATACTACTGGTCTCCGCTGTTATATTTACTTTATCGCCCAATGAAGACATTAGTCAAGCTCATTCATCTTGATTACGGAAGAACATTTGGCTGTCATCATGAAGAACATAGGCGATGTTAATAGCTCCCTAATATGGGCGATGTTGATCTTTCTGTGAAGTTGAACATAAGATTGTAGATTTAGGATATCACGCCATAACTGGCAACGTATAAAATTTCTACATGGGACATTCATATGCTCATATGAAATAATTGGATGCGGTGCTTGCGTACTGTTTCAAAGGTAGATCAACCTACCTGCGCATCGTCCACTTTATCGCTGGGACAGACTGGTCGTGAGCAGTAGATAAGAAATAAGCATAATGACAAAAATCGCTGTGTTGTATCCGCCCACGTCATTACGCCGATAATACAGTGTTCGCCTCCGACGTGACGTCATACACCTTTGCGAACAGAAGGTAGCTTCCACGTCCGTACATCGTCTTCGAGTTACACAGCAGTGTGCTTACCGTTGAATTCGTGGGTTTTCCGAATCTGTACAGTCCATCGTATTCTTCAAGGATGTTGCTTTTGCAATACCAAGTCGCGTTAGCCTTATTCCGACAGATGTACACCACTACGATCATTTTCTGGATGTCAGGTCCACGTTAAGAACCGCCAGGTGGTCCAAATTTTCTGCGGACTAACTAGGGGTATAGCAAACTTTTGTCATCCTTGTTACCGTTTTTATCGCAAAAGTTTCAGAACACTCGTCGATTACAAGAAAAAAAAAGTAAGCTCCGCCCACGGCTGTCCGTTATATAAACGGCCGCTGTGCTGGTTGGTTTCCGCTTAAACAGCTCCTACTTTTTCTCGACATACGTAAATACTACGCATAATAAAAGCTAAATCTTTGTCGTTACTACCGAAAACATCACGTTTGGCTGAGCGATTCCGGCCTGAGCCAGAATACCTAACGAAATTCACCAGGACGTGGAAGTTCCCGACGCTAACATGTCTTCATGGGAAAGTCAGCTGTTTGGAATACTCGACAAATGCTCGACGTCCCGAAAAATGAGTAAGTGCTATTGAATCAATTCGTGCAAGTTTTCAGTGGTATGAAAAGTGATGGCTGTGTGCGGAGGTGACATATTTTTATAGGCTGTAATCGACTACGGGAATGTCTCCGGTGTTTCGATTAGGGGACTTGTCTTCGTCGCGGGAGCGCCTGTATCAGCCCTTACACGCAGGCTCCACTGACATGGCCAATTGTACGACTTCAAATCGCTCCATGCTTCCACATATAAGGTCCGTTCGATTCGCCTGCACCACGTGAACCAGTTCACGGGGTGCTGCACTTTGCCATTCGTTTCAGTGGTGCAGCATCGACGACCTCTGAATCCTGTCATTCGTTTCAAAAGGTGCAGAAGAGGTGCAGCACTGGTTCACGATTTTCGTGCACCACCTACGAAGATGGTGCCGGCTTGGTGCAGCCGTGCATGCAACTGAGCAGACGACGCAGCACTTGGGCGTATGCGCCGTATCTGCCTCTACCAACGTTGTGTGTTTTGCCAAGATGTTTGCGCCTCATAAATTGTCCGCATGTGCGGTTCGCCATCGTTCAGTGTTAGCTGAACGGTGTAAATTAAGCCAACAGAATTAAGGTCTGCACCTTGTTGGCACATCGTCATTTGTTTCGGGGGTCGCGCTGTACCTGCACCGTTAAATGCACGCTGCACAATTTCTGAACTTTGCGTGCACAGCCATGAACCAGTTCCAATTGGTGCAGGTGAATCGAACGGACCTATAGACTCGTGAAGCTCCTGTCTCGTTCTAATTAGCGAAATGCGGTATATGAACCGCGGGCGTCACCCTTATCGTGTTGCTGCGCTGCTTTCTGCAGCGGCAATGGCGAGGAGACGGACAAGCGGAAACGGCCCATGCGCTTCTCCGGGCAGCACGACATCCGTCTGCTGGAGGAAGTCGTGAGCCTGAACCCGTTCAAGGACACGCCACCCACCACCACGTGGGCGTCAATCTCCAAGAACCTCGGCCACCTGTTCTCGATCAGCTCGAGGCGATGCCGGGAACGCACTATACTGCTGCTGGACCAGTTCATCAAGGGCGACTACCCGAGCCTGCAGCGGTTCTGCACAAAAGAGGAGTTTGCAGTCAAGGAGCAGCTGCTTCAGCAGGTACCCACAGTCCCTACATCTATACCCTTTCTAGGCAATCGGGCTGAATTTTTCAAAGAATTATGGTTTATAGACAGTGAAGACAAAACAGGCGTTGGATAAGTGGAACCAACGAATAAGTTACCTGAGTGGCGGATAAATTCAAGGCAGCGGTAAAATTTAGTATTTAACTACGTAGAGTTAGAAGTTACTTCTAGATGGCGTGACCCTTCGCCCGATCGAAATTGTACAGCTCCGTTCATCCGTCCAACCACCGCCTGAACGCCTTTTGATTAATATTTATAGCACCATTAAAATGTCGGTAAGCCGGCCTGTGTATAGGGACGCTTTGAATCGGCATCTGTACAGGACTTCGGGCTCACAACAGTGATAAATGACTCCTGTCACTATATAGTGTCCAATCTGCTCCGCAGCTTTCGTCGTTGGTTCGGGATTTAACTTCTCATGTAATCACATTTGGAGGGCGGAAATTCTCTGCGTCCGGTTGATGCAAGAGGTCCCGAGGGTATAACAGCTTGGGAAAAGGGTGTTCTCCTTCATGTCCTTGCCCCATGTTGTGCAGTTAGCCGAGGAAAGGCATTAAGCACGCACCCGAAAAAACAAAGTACCCTTCCACCCAGTGTCCAACGTGTATAGTAACGCGTACCTGCGGTTCGTTGTTTCCGTTGTGACTTTGGGTGCTGATTTGGGATGTTTTGTAATTTTGTGTGATACTCCGTCCGCGATTACGTTATTTCTAAAGTAGAGATTATTGGCGTGCGTATGGTTCTTAATTATGGGGGGGGGGGTATCGTAGAGCCCCCCTCCCCTTCTGTTAGTCGACTTTAAAGAAAAAAAATGAGTTAAGCAACGATCGCAGAAATGAAAAATGAAACGATGGCTAGCCTCTCACAAAGGTCTGCCATAGGTACCCGGATTTGTGGGGTCAAGACGAGAAGTAAACAACAATAAACCATCCCTGTTTTTTTCTTTTATTTATTTCTCTCTCTATGAATGCAATATAAGGGACTTCAGTTCGCATTATCGCCAGAAGGCATGCTTAGCCATAACCTTGCGCATTAAAAAGTGACGTGAAAATTTCAATTGAGTGATAGTGGGCCCCCCCCCCCCCCACTTGTTTTCCACGTGCACGTGCCTGTGGCAGAGACGCACGAGAAAAGCCGTGTCGCAGGTTTGCCACACCCGCTCCTGCTACACTGACCTTAGGCGCCATTCGCGATAGAGCTGCTTGTTCCCGTTTTACTGTGCGGCTACCGCTTTTTCTGCCACCGGGACAGTTACGCCATCTATGGGCGTATTTGGGTACCAGGAGTGTGACATCAGGGCCGTCTGGATCCTCGGTGCGCTCGGCCCGATCATGGTGCTAGAATACTTTAGGTGAGCGAACTCCGGGACTATGCGCTGCCCGATAATGTTCTGCTTCGCAAAGAGCCCGAGAGATGGCGCTACAAACGTTGCCCCGGCTCCCCCCCATTTCCTTCTCGGTGTAGGAAAGCCCCGTGACGTAGGGAAGCAACGGCGCTCATTTATGGTCGCCACAACACCCTCGCTGCACCGTCAACCTCATCCCTTATCACCCCCTCTTTCGTGGCACCGCTCCTATGCGTGTCGCGTGGTTGATATCGTGCGATAACCCGGTTTTCTCAGATTTGTAAACCGTCGTTCACGTTCCGCATGTGCTTTGAGGAATTCGCCAGCAGCCCACCACGATCCTCAGTCCGGTGTGCCATTTATCGGCATGCCGCAAATGAGAACATAATCGGTCCCTCCCCGCCAAGCGCTCGCTTCGCGGCGTTCGCTCACCTAAAGTATTCTTGTACCGTGGCACCGATCCAGGCGTCCTTGGTGACTGACCCGCGATATGGACACCCATCTGTCGCATGCCCTGCCCTACAACAGCTCCGGTAACTTTCTTTTCATTGACTTCTCGCAGGTGCATCAATCACTCTCGCTTGCTTTATTGCTGTCTAATATCTCGTACACGCATTACAACACAGTATAGATCAATCGACGTCATTTTCGAACTGGCACTTTTTCGGTTGCGCATGCTCATTCTGGCATCCATGAACTACTCCATAGATCATTGTTATCTTTCATTGTAAAATTAAAGACTTGAATTGGCATGACCTTGCGTGAGTGTGCTGTGTACCACACTTTCGAATAATCTTGGTATCGAGAGAATTCGTGCATTCTTTCGAAACTTTTTCCAACACGAACATAATGTATCTTTAAGCAGCTAATGCTACTGTTTCATCCGCGCAGGTGCTCCAGCAATACGAGGACGGCGCAGGTGGATACAGCTCTCGCATAGGCGGCGGCTTTGTCACGGCCGCTGCATCGGTCGCGGAGGACGAAGAGGATGATGACGACTTTGACCCTGACAAGATCCGGCCCCGCGTCATTCTGCACGAGGGCTCAACGCCTGAGCCGTACACCACTCGACAAGGTGAGGAACCAGCCTCAAAAAGTTTCTTTGCGCGTCGCGCCACGCCTGCTTCGCTCGAGATTCTTATCGCCCACCATGGGGGGTGCTGTGGTCCTTGCGTATCCCTCACCCGGTTTAAGCATCGCGAACGAACACGTGCGGTACGTGGTAATCGTGTGTCTAGGCGGATTACGAAAATGGTCGACGTTCAAAAAGAAAAGCGCGCTCTTCTCGAGAAAGCCACTATTTGAGTGTAACTTTTTTGTTGGGCTATGATTGGTGCATGTTTTACGGAAGGAATAAGGCGCGAACGGGATGGACACAAGAAGAAACATGGACGAGCGTGAGTTGAGCGCACAGATGTCCTATCGCGCACATATGTCTTGCCTGGGTCCATGAGCTGCGCGTAAGGCCGGATAGGGGAGTGGTGGTTGGAGGTGGGCCGTTCTAGTACCGCCGTTATGGTCCGTTGCTTAGTCCATCCGCTTCCAATACGGAGGCAGTGGTGCCTCCCGTATTGCCTGGTAACGCCCGCCGTTCTTTATAATAGGGAGAGGCATGAAGGCGTGCGAAGAGTGCCCCCATTAAAGACGGGGGCAAATTTCTGTCGCAGCACTCCCAGCCCCACCCCGCGTCAGTTGGTCGAGTCCAAAAGACAACCTGCTTCAGAATAGATGATTAAAATAGAGTGATAACTTGCTTCCAAAAATTAGTGCCTGGTTTTCTTGGAGTACAGTTGGTAGCTGAAGATTGATTGATTGATTTGTGGGGTTTAACGTCCCAAAACCACCATATTTTTATAAGTGACGCCGTAGTGGAGGGCTCTGAAAAGTTCGACTACCTGGGGTTCTTTAACGTGCACCTAAATCTAAGCACACGGACCTACAGCATTTTTTGCCTCCATTGAAAATGCAGCCGAGATTCGATCCCGCGATCAGCGGGTCAGCAGCTCAGTACCTTAGCCACTAGACCACCGTGGCGGGGCAGTTGGGAACTGAAGAGTTCCCACGTTTTTAATGCACATATATACCCTATAATATGACTGTCATCGTAGCAAGTTCTCTTTTTGTGCACTTTGCTTTCTTCACATATATATATATATATTCACATATATATATATATATATATATATATATATATATATATATATATATATATATATATATATATATTATACCCATGGCGCACGTTGTTGATGCTGTGGCTGATGATGAGATCAATTATGCTTGCAAATCACGTCTGTGGAAACCCGCGACATGGCGGCAGAGATAAGAAATGGAATTTGACAACCGCTCAATTATAGTACGAAGCCACTGGTAAATTCTTGCAGATTGTAGGGGTGGAAGTGCCTCGCCAATTACGCCATTCTGCGCCTATCTGACCTGCTGTGCCTAGATGGCGATTCGCGCGTGCAACGCCTAATTCAGTCGAGTTTTATCATCGGCCGAGCAACACGTGTGGACTGCACAAAGGGCGCAACCACGTCTATAACAGATTAGTTCGATCACGCCGTGAAGAGAATGCATGAATCTTGTTAGAGGGCCACTCACCACCCCGTGTTTAAAGACGAGGGGGGGATTTCCTTTTCTTCTTCATACACACGATGCATCCTCCTCGCCCCTTAGTTCTTGAATGCACGTGAACAATATCAGCACTAAGCGCTAGAGCCTATCGGTATTTTGCGATTCTCCGCTGCACGCTGTTATCGCCGCTTGCGCAGTTGTAAACAGAAAAGCTGAAGTACATCAACGAATCGAGAGCATGTACGCTGTATACGTCACAGTAACTACTGTCTACGTCACAGTAGTGCGTCAAGAAGGACGAGAAATATCAGGAAAAAATATTGCGCCTTTTTTTGTATATTGAGAGCCTGTTGAATCGCCCGTTAAGGTGGCGTTTGTGTGCACACCTAATTATGCGACTCCACAGTATGTGGACTTGTGTGTTTTTGCAGCAAAGCTGTTAGGCATACTATAAAGACGGCAGTGTTGCCCCGCCGCAGTGGTCTGGTGGCTAAGGTACTCGGCTGCTGACCCGCTGGTCGCGTGATCGAATCCCGGCTGCATGTTCGATGGAGGTGAAAAGGCTGTAGGCCCGTGTGCTCAGATTCGGGTGCGCGTTGAAAAACCCCAGGTGGTCGAAATTTCCAGAGCCCTCCACTACGGCGTCTTTCATAATCATATGGTGGTTTTGGAACGTTAAAGCCCACATATCTATCAATCGAAGACGGCAGTGTTGTTGCAAAAAACTCGCCGCACTGTTGCCGAGCAACAGCCGAGCGCGTGTATGTTCTCGGTAGTTGCTCAGCAACGGTGAGGCGAGTTTTCGCAACATAAAATAAAAAAAAAAAATCTGTGTCACCGGCGAAGTGATGACTGCAATAGCAACAATTTGTAATGCTGCGATAGCAATGCCGCACGCGCTCCTTTTTTTCTATTTTCGTTACCGCACCATTACGCGTGTAACGCTGCCTTCAGCAAACCGCGCCCGAATGACTGCGGACCATCTAGATAATCTTAAAAACTTCCGATGCGATTACGCGCACAACGCGTATACATCAGAGTTGGTTCTAAAACTCTCGTGTACGCTAGTGATAACGCTGGGATCTTCGATGGCACATGTATGCCGTTGTACTTTGCTGCGTGGCAGATTATCGACGACCGACGCTCTATGTTCGCTGCTATCAGTCTACAGCGTGTATTGCTTGTAGAGTGACGTTTAGTTTTCCGGGCACAGGTTATCGCAAATAAAAGGTTCTTTCATGAAAAACCGGCTGCTGCCTTTGTCGACCCCGTGACAATACGAAGGCTGACAGCTAATTCTTTTCGATCCGACATTGCGACACTCACAACTACAAAACGCTGGTGTAAGAGAAGAACGTCCGCTCCAGGGAGAATGCTCTTATCGCACCATCTCTTCCCGTTGAGAGCGCGCACCGCGTAGAATGGTTTACGAGCCGTGCGCTGATGCTCGCCGATATCGCGCGCGCCAGCTATCGCAACCACGCGCTTGATTAGGATAAAAGTTCTTAGGTGCTGCTCGAGCAACTCCCCTCGCCCCGCGTATTTTCATACTCGTTCCGACGGGCGGCGTGTTTCCTCTCTGATTGAGCATTCTACGCCATTTCACATTCGCGGCGGGATGCTAACGCGTGCGCCCTCCGAGCGACTGAAATCGGCCGTCTCGTTCAATCTATGCTCGAGCAGCGCTGATCACCCCAGCTTCAGAAATTTTACGTGCGGGTAGAACGTATGATGCGCGGGAAACGGTACCAACTTGTAGTTTACGCGTAACATGGCGGCTACGGCGAAAACCCGTGGAGTGTCCATATAGTTCCTATCGTACGTACGTAAAAAAAAAAATCACTTAATTGCCTATCTATGGCGCAGCGAGCTCGTCTAAATTTGCTCGCAGTTCTCATGTCGGCGTCGCACTCCAATGACCGGAACATAAGTCTGTTACATTTATTTTTATAGGGCCAATCGGTTTATTATGAAGATAACTTTTATTATAGTAGCTTATTTGTAGTCTTGAGTTGCTCTTCATGTTAGATGCGATATTTTAATCACATTTAGAACATTGCGACATTTTAAAATCAAGTTTGTTTCATTAATCTGGGGTCTAGTTGCTGCCCAGGGCGCCGCTTATGTTTTTGTTTTTGGTTGATGTGCTTCCACCTTTGATGTTGTAAGGTTTATACTCGGCGACAGCTTTTCTTGACAGCACTGTGGAAGCTATAGAGCCGAACCGCCTGCATGCGCGCGCGCCAGGAAATAGTACCTATTTTATTTTCTGATTCTAATAGCTACTTGGCCCGAATAAATAAAACTTTCTTCATCATAAGGATAGAACAAGTATGGGACGCTGTTCATGGAAAAGAAGTTATCGTGCGCCCTAGTTTTTTTTTCCTTTTTTATTTCTTGGACGGCACCACGTTTTCCGCACGCCGGCTGCGTCTGCTGCTTGCTCTTGCAGCGGCGAGCACAGCATCGGCCGTGGAAAAGCTGCTCATCGTTGGGACGCGCCGTCTTTTATACATCACGCATCGAACTTTCCAGCCTTATCACTGGTGGCCGCGCAAGCTCTGAAATAAGCTTCACTGTTCGCGTCTTGCGCGCAATCTTAACAACGATCTACAACAATTGTGAGGCTTCTCGAACACTGAGGCGCAGTCTGCGCCGATCATTGCTGACAGCCTTTGAGGGCGTAAACCGAATACAGCAAAACTGAAACAAGACAAGCCCGTGGCCGGATCGTGCCGCAACCGGCCTTCCATTTCGCTTGTACCAGGGCTCAATACCGTAAACGTTAACATTCGATCACGTGTGGCGCGTACCCGTATATACTGGGCTGAACACGGAACCTAAACTTCACTGTTATAAAGGCTGAATAATGCTGGGAAAACGTTCTGAACAACGGAAAATTTTATATGTACCAGTATATAAACAGCACAGTAACTAGCTGCATGTATGCACTCTCATCAAAGTTTAACTCTGACGTTCCCATTTTGCATGCATACATTTTGCTAAACACACTAACGCAGCGAGCAAGTGAAAACCGAAACTGGAACCGAAATCGGCTGCAAGCTGCCGGACTACTTGCGTAGTAACACAAATGTGCGGAGGCCCCGCCTCCGTAGCCTTCGCTCCAATGTCAAGAAAGCTGTCGCCGAGTATAGTATATATCAATTTCTCAGAATTTTTTTTTGTGTTTACTAGAAAGCAAAAACAAAATAATTAACAGTGATTTGTGGGCAAAGAAATTTGTTCCAAAACCCGATTTCGATGCTCCAAAACGCACCTTTTGCTGCTCCAGAGCTGCTCCAAAACTCCCTTTCTAGTGCTCTAAATTTGCTCCAAAACCTCATTATCCCTGCTCCCAAAGCTGCTCCGAAAGACTCAAACCCGCTTCCACCCCGGAGGTTGGTGCTGCAATAGGGTGGATCACCATTTCCATTTCTTAACAATTACGCCCGAGGACTTTGCGTTGTGAGGAGCTCTGAACCATCCACACGTTGCGCAGTGTGACATGGTGTGACGCGTAATTCGATTTTGGCTTCTGCCACCCGATGTTACGTTTTTCTATCGCGATTCCCCGCAGCACGTCACGTGAAACCTGTATAAGGGTTTGCTTTGCGAAGCGCCTTCGAGTACAGCATTGGCTCTGTAGGTAAAAAAAAAAAAAAAGCGGCGAGCTTTACTTTGTTCGTCGCTCGCATTTTGTCCGTTGTGCAAGTGCGTACTGTAACACGTCAGGGATCTGCATCAGTTAGCCCCGGTTGTGTACCTTGCAAAAGACTCCGTCCGCCTTCTGTTCCAAGTGTCGTGTTTCAACAGTACATACGTCACTGTACTTGTGTGGCGTGGTTTGTTTAGAATGTTAATAGATAACCACATCCGTTGCACGCTGACTATCGGGAAATGCGAGCGATCTTGGGCTCTGAAAGGTGTTTTATTAGATGTACGGAGTAATGTTTTTTTTAACACGGACGTGTTAAAAAAAACGGATATGACGTTGTAAAAATATATACTAGCACATTGCTAAGAACCACAAGGAAAAATTCTGACGTGCGGCGCTAATCACTACGCCACGAAGCGGACGTTGCCGAGGGTGCTAGCAGCATGTCATTTATATACACCATACACCGTTTGGCAGTCTTCAGAGCTCCGACAGTTTGGGTGCTTTCGTTATCAGTAGCCAGATGGCGCGAAGGCTCGCGTTGGGCGCGCTACGGAGCACCGCCTCCACGGAGCGTGGTCTCTCATGTGCGCGCACGCTTATCACATTCGTAATTCGGGAGACGACGAAGGTCACTTCACCCGCTGCCACGGCCGCGTTTACGAAAGGAGCGCGCTAGTGAAACACGGCGAAGTAAGAATTGTGACAGCTGTTCACGCTTGTCCTGCGTATACTTGTGCGCGCCTTTCGTGCGTCTTTCTTTCTGCTTGAACAGCGTGCTTTTACCCCCGTATTCTAGAACGTCCCTTCACTCAACGCTTCACCTTCACTTGAGAAAGCCGATGGGAGCGCCTCCTCTAGGCCCGGCGAGTTACTGCATATCAGCGATAATCTGCTGCAACTCTTGAGTAGCGCAGCGTCATTTTCAGCCGAGCGGTGGCGCATTGCTCAACTCTGTCAAGTGAAGGGTGGAAGTCGAGTCGAGGAGTGTTTATGAATAAGGGGGTAATACCCGTGCCACACGGGCAGAGAAAATGGCATTTACCCCCGAATGCCTTCAGATTTATTGCCATTCGCGCGGTGCCACACGTGCGAACGAAATGGCATTAGTCCGAATGCCATTCGCGACCAAATGCCTTTGCCAGAACTCAGTTGACTGAGAAATGCCTACTCTCGACGACAGAGCTCGCGAAGTGCGATTTACCTCAAAGTAAATAAAATCATATTCAGCTAAAAATGAAACTTCCCGTCTTTTATTTGCGCTAAACTTTAAAAAAGGTGCTTTGAACGTTATACGAAGATCAGGTTGAAATGGTTTGAAATTAATTGAAGTTCAATGTCCTGAAGCTGGCGCATAATAACTCGTCTCTGCTCCAGAATTATTCGCTCTTGAGCACGATGCTTTGCACGGAAACACACAAGTGCTGCCGTGAAAAAATGAATTCTGCGAACATCATCTTCTGAGAGATGCGACAGGTGCGATGCGACAGGCGCCATTTTCTAATTACGCTGTGGATCTGACTAGTGTTGGCTTAGGTTGCTACGGTCGGCTGCAACATTGTAAAACAAAGCAAGAAACTACAACTTAGGACAGCGTAATATGCTTATTTCTACTTTTAATGATTATATGATGTGTATGAAGCTTGTAAACGCTTGTTTATTTTTTTATTGCTATTCCCCCGATGCTCACTTGGAAGGTGCTGCGATCGGCATCATCAAGTCAAATGTCATTCGCTTTGGACGTGTAGCAGCGCCGGCGAAACAAATGTCATTCGGGAACTGAAGGCCTTCGCCACCAAATGTCATTTTCTATGCCCGTGTGGCACGGGTATAAGTGTCGAGCGGTAACAGTTGTAAAACCACGCTCGTCCTGTGTGTGCTGATTTCGCGCGTGATTTCTGCTTGAGGTATGCGCTACGATTCGCTTGCCGTTCTTCAGTTGACTTTGTGATTTGTTGCTGTTGATGAAGCAATTCAGTAGAAACGCTCAACTTCCTCTGTTAAGACACGTTTCACGATTCCTAGATAGGGGGATCAGCCATATTGTTTTCCTGTTTTTTTAACACTGAATAATGATTTATCTTTGCAAACTGGATGGTGCCTCAGGGGAAGTACAATACTGTCATCACCACATCTATGTGTAGGACATTTACAGCTGTTTGACGTTAATTTAATAGATGTGGGTTTTTTTACTTTTTGTTTACCCTTCGCTTCGTGTAGCATTATGGGGCCACATCCTCATTTTTACACGCGCCACTGGAGCGTCGTTTCTTACGCAGTGTGCCTTGAGGCGCGAACGCTTGCTTTTTTTTTTTCTTTCACGCTTGCTTCTCCATCGCATCAATTTGACTCATCCTCTCGTAGCAGGTCTGTAGTCCTACCTCATATGTACAGTCGTCAGCAAGCTTGACACGAACGCTCCGTAGCGTGTCCTGAAGAGGTTTGATTGACACCAGTGCGGCGTAGCTTTGGGCTTTGTTGCCGGAGATGTTAACCATGCTTGCCAACATACTATCCAAGCAAACCTACTTATTACTTTGGCAACAGCGCCCAGATCAGTCAAACCGGCTCAGGTCACGCTGCGAAGCATTCGAGTTAGACACACACCAAAGAGAAACAATAACTTGGTTTTAATTAACAAAATGTACGCTGAAAACTACAATGTCATATGTTTCACTATCATAAGTTCATTATTAGCAGGAAAAATCAAGGCTAAAGTTTCATTTCTACATTTCGCGCTGAAATCTCTGCGCGTGACGTCGAAGATTTCGAAATGTATTTTTCGTATTTTCGCGACATTGGCTTGACGACATCTTCTGAAGCTTCGTAGGCTATGTCTATGGCGCTCACAGTTGACAATTTACTTCATTTTTATCATTTCGAAGCCACGTAGGACCCAGTAGGCGCCTTCAAAACGCAGACTCACAAATCGGGTTGTTGGACCTCACCCACAAACAGGACCTTGGCTACGCATTTATATATATACTTATTTGCAGTCCTAAGAAACGAAGACAATAGAAGACACATAAACGACACAGCCTTGTGCTGGCTTCCAACTGGAGTTTATAGAAAAATACTTTATATGAAGTACTTAGTACATATAACATATTTGGTCTATATCAAGACTTGTACCAACTGGACCATCAACAGATTGTAATTCTTCGCTACGCTTTTGCTGCCATCTCGGGTGCCGCATGATGTTGTTTTTGCACCACATAAACCCCGCTTATAGCTGCTTATTACTTTTTTATTCTTTCTGAAGCTTTCAACAACTGTAATTATTAATATGAGAAGCAAGGTTTTCATGGGTGGATTACAAATGTGACAAGAGCTGATGCTTACTGCTTATATGACTTATAAAAAGCTGCGCTACGCAGCTCTGTCTCAGCCATCTGCCTTCCTGTACGGGCACTGTTTTTTTAAAGACGATAGTCTTTCTTGGGGACCTTCGACGCAAAAAATTTTGATCTTTCTGTCTGTCTGTTTGTCCGCACTTAACGGTGCCCTAAGCGGCACCAAAGTTGCCAAACGATACTCAAAATGGCCGACCCCTTTCTCAAGATTCAGCGCTCATATATGTGCGATTGTTGATTAAAAAGCAATGATTGCGCATATCTGAGGCACCATGGAGGCGCCATGACAACACGTCAATATTCTGTATGTGTGTTTCTTACTAGAAAAGGCATACATAAGTAATCATAAGGACCGTAGCGTTTATCACGTTGCGCTGACCAGGCAACGCTTGCACAAAAGGGCAAATGTTTCAAACGCTTTGCTAAGAGGACACTGTGGTGGCACTTACCCGTCGCCTTGCGTTCTACATCTATCACCTCCAAGACGGGCGCGCAGAGCGCTCGCACTTCGTTTTTGAAGGTAACTGCCAGATAGCGCTCAGGTGTGCTCGTTCGCCTCCGCTGCACGCTCTACCAGTCACCGATTTTCTTGCGCAGAACATCAAATTAACGGTTTGCTCACACTCTCCAGATGCAAGACCATCGTCTTTCGACGACATTTGCAGTGTAACATGCAGATACGGGGCCATTTTTTTTGCTTTTCATTTGCCAAAGGTCTGCCTAAGCAGAATACTTGTACTACCAATCAATGCTACACTTGTGAAATCGCCGTACTCATTGCATTGGTTTAGTCATTATTGCCGAGTGTGTTCCCGCAATTATTGCGAGAAAGTATCGTGCTGGTTGCTTTCTCATTTTCGTACTTTTTGAACGCAGACAGCGACGAGCGCGAAATGAACGGCACGTCGACGAAGGAGCAGACCTCTTCCACGTCAGCGCCTCCGGGCAAACGACCGCGGCTCGCCGGCGGCCCGTCGCCCTTCGCCGGCAACGGCGGCCTGGCGGACGACGACGGAGGCCTCGAGGAGTTTGCCGTGTCCTCCGCCTTGGGCGACGCCGCGAAGAGCGCCGACTTCCCGAACCAGGTGGTCTCATACCTGGTGACGCGTCAGGCCAAGGAGATGCGCGTGCGCGAGAAGGAGCTCAAGCTGCGCCGCGAGGAGCTCGAACTGGAGCGTGCCAAGCTGAAGCTCCAGGAGGACCGGTTGGCCCTCGAGAAAGCACGCTTCGAGATTGAGCGCCAGGAACGCGAGCTGCGGCTCCGCTCAGAGAGGCAGGAGCGGACGCTCTTCATGGAGGTGCTCAAGAGGGTGGTCAGCTCGGGTCTGACGGACTCCTAGCGTGCCTTCCATCAGCCCCGCGCAGGGAAGCCTGTCTCTGCAAACTTATGCTTCCTCACTTTTTCTTGCAAGTGTTCATGCGTTTTAAACACAACACCGCCACCTGCTGTGGTTGCGTTCGACTCCATCAGTTTGCATTGCTGCAAAGGGAACAAGCATACAAAGTGCGCTTTGTGCGTGCAGCCTGATTAACACAGCACTGAAGTGATAAAAAGCAAAAAGTGACATTGTTAGTGCCACGTGACGATAACCTGTCATTGGCATTTGGTACCTGAATCATTTTAGGAAGGACCCTGAAGTTAATGCAACAGAATGTGTAGGCTGTGTGTAAAATGGCTATGCTTCTTTCTTGCGAGTCAAAGCCACTTGGCATGCAACGCACCATTTTGCTGCGATATGCAGGATGCAGATGTACATAAAATAATAGGTGTCGAAGATCTTTGGATTGTTTGTTGGACTAACTGAACACAAGATTCGCAGCACAGCTTTATGTATCACCTTTAGAGGATGCACATTTGTAAGGAGCTGCACAGGGGAGATTAACTTCTTTGAATGCAAAGCTGCCCTATTAGACTATCCTGCATTGCTCACATTACAGGGCTGATAATGTAATTGCTTCTGTTGAGTTATTCATGAGAAGTATGACAGACATTGTAACTTGTGCACTTTTTCTTCCCTATGACATTTTATTTACGACTTAGCAATAGCTCAACAGAGCAAAATGTTGGCCTTGCTGGTGTTTCATGGTTGTATGTATAGTCACAGTACAGGAACGCAGCAAAAACAGGAGCAGGTCCTTTGTTGTACTTATAATCATAAAGAAATTGTCCTAGTTTGCTGCCAGGCACTGTCTTTGAACAGTCCACACCTAGAACAATGTGTTCATCTTCCTCCTGCTGTACTTATTTTCGGGCTCCTCCTTTGAAAAAGCCTTGTTTGTTTATGTGTGTGCAAATTTAATGTGTCTTTGTGAATGTGGTATTCATGTAATGATAACACTCGCATTCTGTACGCTACAGTGTTCTGGTGGTTCGTCAGGTGCAACGACTTTTGACACTGACTAGTCTTGTTTCCTAGCACCACCGATGCAGGTGCACATGAAGAAATAATGACAGAAGGTTGATTACAATTTCAGTGCTGTCATATTTTCACATTGCCGTGACATCTTCTCACATGTGCTTACATATGTGGGAGCACACTAAAAAAAAATGCACCCCATTTCGATCTTCATTTCACCCTTAATATAAGGCGCTTGTGATAGCATGCTAATATTCAGTAACCTAGTACAGTAGTGTTAAGACAAGCTTCAAGGGACCATACAAAAACGTCATTGAAATTCGGTAAATAAATTCGGTTTACAATATGACGTATTCTATTTTACACCCAAATATTTACAGCACAGTTAAACAGCAATAAAATAAAAAAGCAGATTTTAAAGTGAGACATTTATGGGTTTGCTTGACAGAAAGTATTATTTTATGCAGTCTTAGCATTTGAGCAAGTCATGCTTGTTAGCACTACATCTCTGCATGCTGTCGCCGAGTCTGAAAGTTCATCTAGTGAACTCGGTAAGACTTCGGTCTCGTAACACTGTTGAAGGAATGCAGCAAAGTATCTAAGAGCATTAAGTGTAGGCACACTAGTGATCCTTGCGACTCCTGGGCAACGTCTCGGCTTTAGTAATGAGCCTACTGAGAGAAATATAGAAGGTGCTCAATGTTTTTATAGGGTGAGACTTGAGCGTTTGTATGTTTTTAAAATTGATTCTTCTCTTACGTTCTCTCTCGTGTGTTACAACCCCAACCTCAAAAACTGCCGGTATTGGCCTCCTGCAGAGCAAATATATATGTACGATGTTAGCAGAAAAAGTTCGAAAACTTCTTCTGACCATGAATTTGTTTACCCATTTGTACATTAGTTTTTCTGATGTTATTAAGCCAATCTATCGATGCCGTATTTGCTCTGGTTGTCTTTAAGAAATTTTTGAAAGCTAAGCAAACTATTTCTCAAAGGGTAAGGAACATCTTCAAGGGTGGATAGGCTCATCGCATCTGAATACATGCTCCGAAGTGTAATGTATTCCAAGTATGCTGTCTGAACGAAAAGTAAGTTTGTATAAGGAAACATGCTTATCGCTCAACTTTCAGGTCTGTTTCCTGGGACCATAGCCTTATCAAAAAGAAGCATGATAACACAAACAAATATATGTAGTATGTTACTGCCTTATTTTGTTGGCAGAAATAGGCTACATTTGAATTGATGATACATATCATGTAAATAAGCATTGAACCTGGTGCATACCACATTTGAATATTTAGATGCATAAGCTTTCTGCAGTGAGGAAGCAATCTCTCTCAGGTGTATGAAAATTTCAATACTGCATGCTTTAAAAGATGCTTTCATGGTGTTTCATGCGTAAATCACGCACACAACCCTATGTTCATTCAATAGCACAAGAGGGAATGAAAATTCAAGCTTGAGTGAGAATAATAGAAAACTGGACTTGTAAAATGGATGGTGGACAGCATAGTTTTTTTGTAGTAGGTGTAAAAATGCGAGCAAGAACATTGCCATCGTAAGGTGATGTAAAATGAAACCATTGCACAGAATGTGTCCCATGTATTGGACCAATGTTTTTGACGTTGCTTTCATCATTTCAAAGAAATGCAAACCCAGATGTCGGAGACAAAAGTTACAAAGAAAATATCACAGCTAGGTTCTAAATAAGTATTGGCTTTTTCATTAAACTTGTCGGTCGCGATTATTCCTACTAAGCATGCATCTGGTATCCAGGCATTGTCAATAGAATACTATTAGATTGTTTAGTAGATGTCCTTCAATGATGCTGTAATTGGAAAGTGGCTTTGCCAAAATTGTAGCTATGGCACAGTGTACGCTGTTGTGATGCAGAAGATTCCCTGCATTGCGGGAGGTACTAGAAGGGTGTCTGGTCCTCCGCCCTTGATGTTTACGCACTTCCCCTCCACTTCCACTTAACTTTAGCTCACCCCACTGCCCCTCTCTCAGTAAAATATTGTATCCTCCATTACCCCACATCGCAACTCGCACAATAGTATGCTAACAGCTGATCTCGACATGAAAAGCACACGCCAGTGCTTTTTCATGCAACAGTCTACCTTTAAAAAAAGCTATGTGAGCATTCATTGGCGCATGTAATTGCTTGCCAGGTGGACCCTTGTGGCGTAGTGTGCGTGAATCGTATTTCATTAGGATCCCCATTATGTGCGCCATTTTTTTTTGCACCATAGCTCTCCTATCGTTCATTTGACACTGAAACCTCTAGCCGTATTTAGTGCTTGAATAAAGGCATGACAGAAGTGTGGTCTCCTTTTCTTAACCTGCTTACCATCAGACGCATTTTTAGCAGCACAGTGATAAGGGAAGAATGTACTGAACAAGTTGCTAAGGGTGTTCGTTTACGACGTGTGATGAGAATTTTTTCGTTGTTGGTGACCTAGTTATACTTAAGGTGTTGAACTGTCGGCGAGTGCCACATGGCGAGTGCCTGTCACAAAACGCTTGAAAACATGGTAAGTCTTGTCGCCCTAACATGTGAATCGATTTATTTGATGTTGATATAAAATCTTAGAACTCTCCTTGATAACTTTTTTGACATTTGATCGTAAAATGAAAATTACACCAAGTGTGCCAATCTGAAATTACCCACCCATGATGACATGTACCTAAGACCGGAGCACTTGGTTCTGTTAGGAGTGCAGCACTTTGACTGATTTTGTACATTCTATTATGCATATTCTTCCATTCATTGTTATATTTTTTTGTCCATTTATGCATACATCATATTGCAAATCAAAATCACATTCATTGAGCTACTGAGCGATGTGAAGTTTTGCGCGTGGAGCTATAATTTTGCAGCAAGCAGACGCCTACGGACAGTCCTAGCGGACGGAAGTCGCATCTTTTTGTCCCCAAAGGAAGGTTTTCTTGTAAACTGCATAAAACATAGCAAGTGTTAATACGAAAATAGAAGTTGGGGCAGTGAACTGGTTTTCCATCGGCCGTGCTCGCATGTTGCTGAACATGCAGGACTCCGTGTTTCGATTTTCCCGCCACGTCCTTTGTTTCGCCTCAAATGGTGAATAGCTGTTCATGACGCTGGTTGAAAACGTTCAGCGTATAACTTTCTTGCGTTCCTGACTGCTTTGCCGCTCTTTTCGTGTCTTCCTGTGTAGATTATATATACTATGACCTAAGTGCGCATTTAATTGTCCTATGAACCATGTTTACATTAATGCCTATTAACTTGTCAGCACCATAGCTTTGTGGGATAGCTTTTGAGTGCAGAGCACTCGCACTCATCCTTTGATGTTATACGACAGCATTGTGCTTTGATAAATATACAGTGCTAGAGAACACACTGCAGACTTGTGTGATTCTGTGTTGTCTATAGTGTGCGTTCGCTAGTTCAAGTTGGTACCAACTTATCTCCCCCCTCCCCTAGATGTATTAATTTATGTGCCTCTTGTTCCTCCAATAGCACTGATGAAAATAGGCTTGATAGTGTATCATTGACGTTACTTGACTGTGCTGCCCGGAATAGAATGCGCACTAGCATATTAATGGATAGGCGGACGGATGCAATAGCTTTCTGGAAGGTACATATGCAAATCACATTTCGTAAATCTCAATCGTTCGTTGCACCCCATACAGGTTTTGCACTGGCCTTACTTTTAATTGCCGTTTGTGAATAAGAATTGATATGATGAAATTGTTGTCGTTGCATTCTTTATTACACTGAACAGATCCGTGCGCTCCTTCTTATTACTTTCTTTTCTGTTTCTCTCTCTCTTTTTTTTCCTACATGGTTACCATAGTTTCAGGAGTTGTGTGTCTGCGATGTGCACATCTGCGTCGAGGATCCAATATCCTCAACTTGCAGCGTCTTTATCCGGCTTTATTGATTTATTTGGGCTGTCACAAAGCAACACTAAATAGGACAATTCGCATGACAACTTGCCACGTACATTGTCTAGGGTATCACGGCGAGTTCTGCATTCCAGCATTGATGATGCTATCCTATCTGGTATTGTGGCTGTTTAGTGAGCTGTCCACTGTGAGTCTTTGAACTTCCACAAAATCTGCTATTGCTCTTGAGACTGACGAAAACTACTTGGGTCTGCATGATTGTTTCTGATGCTGTTTGCATAACTTACCACGCCAAAGTTAGTACAGCTTGGTCACCGAATCTATTAGTACGCTGAACATAGGGACTCGGTTCAAAAAAAAAATTGAAAGACACCAAAAAGAACCGGGCGATGCGAGCTCTACACAATGCGTAACAAAATATGTTCTTAATTAACGAGCCGGGCAGTTGCGATCTAACTGCTTTCTCGTGCCTGATTAATTTCTCAAATAACGCCGTTAACGTTCAGGGGATGGTGGAATACTGGCGACATCAATGATTTTTAAACAGTTAGTGTCGCCTTTTCGAGTACTTTAATCGGGGATAATGTTGTTATAATCTTAACTGCAAAAAAGATACTGCTGTTGTAGTGATTTTTGAGCTGCGCAAATTACTTCAGCACGTTTTTTTTACCCATTCTGTTGCTTTTAGTTTGAACCTATAATTCTAAATGTTAGCTTAACAGGTCATCGACTCTTCTTTCCAATAAGGCTGCAGCGTGGCCCAAGTGTGCTCATATGGGCTGACTGGTGGTGTGAGCTCGAGAACCATGTGCTTATCGTGTCCATTGGAGCCGATCGAGTGTCTTGTAAATATTGTGAAAAGTTATCGATCTGTATTGAAGGGCATTGCTCTTTGTCTCTGTTTTGTTTGAATTCGTGCACTTGTGGTTGTGTATTTCGTTCTCCATGCCAAAGCTTGTATTAATTTAAAGAGCGCTTATTGTGCTCTATCATTCCTTTGTGATATCAATAAAGTGTATTTATTGACTACAGCACCGTCTTTGCCTGTGAGCTTCAACGTTCAAAGTGACTTACGAGAGACGCCGGCGTGGAGGGCTCCGAATAATTTCGACCACCTGAGGTTCTCTAACGCTCGCTGACGTCGAACGTTAGACGGGCCTCTGGCATGTCGCCTTCGTCACAATGTGACCGCCGCAGCTACGATTGAACCACCAGGCGGATGTGTAAAGTGTGAAATTGGGAAGCTCATCACAACACAACAGTGAACAGAAAAAGTGAATATACGCGGACGTGGACCCTAGCTGCTCTGACTGCAATGAAACCTTCTGCTCTATGGCTAACATGCTCTGGCGATCTCCCGCGCTGCCTAACAAAGTTCTCTCAAGCGACGCCGAATGGGAGGAGGCCATAAGAAGTACGGAGCTCAGCAGGCAAATCCAGGCAGTCCAGAAGGCCCAGGAATGGGTGGAGCGTCGCGGCGTTCTGTCCTCTACGCGGGCGCGGCCAGCGGTTACAACGGCCCCTCATTAGATGGTCCTGCAGTAATTCCTCCGGCTCTATCAAAGTTGCCTGTCTGTCTGTGTCTGCCTGTCTTTCTGTGTCTGTCTGTCTGTACGGGGAATGTGGGTGTTAGCCGTTTTTTTTTTCTCACTCAACCATAATACAGGACACGGAAAAGTTAGAAGGCGCCATGACACGGCCACTCAACAATTTGTTGTTTTCAGTAGAAACTAGAAGTGAAGGGCTATTGTGCATTGCAAAAAAATAATAAAGGTGGGCCGCACGAGAACATTTCAGTGCAACACAGACGCCAGAAATCGCCAGCTGTAAACTCCTCTGACCGCCGGCAACCTATATTTTGTCATAATGACGTTACACGTGCAATGACCCATTGCACGTGTGACGTCATGTGCAGCAGGGAGCGGAGCTTTCGTCTTCCTCCGCAGTTTCAGCTGCTGTAAATCGTTCCATTTCAGCGCCAATCAGAAGATAGCTAATATATATATTAAAATATATCGATTTCACGCCCAACTGACCATGTAACGATATTGTCCACCGGAATGCAGACGCTCGCACGGCTAGCAGCATTGTTACGTCTTAAATCGAGAGTGCGCCAGTATTGCCCGACTCTCAGGTCGCCCACGTGTTTAAAAATATTTAGTTATAAATTAAGCACTCGGCTAAACGCGCCAAAATTCTGACAGCTTATATTGTGAACGTGCAAGGATTAACCCACATAATAATTGTTATGATCGAAAATTGGGTGTCATCGCCCCTTAGAGGCCGTAAGTGGAAGAGCTCGGTGAACCAGTTTCACAACTTTACAAAAATTCGGGCAACTTATGCATCGAAGAGCCTTACCAATATAAGTACAGGGACTCTTGTCGTTTATTGTTGATTTTAGTGGAGTGCAATTTCAGGTTAATTAAGGTCAAGATTACGTTGTCGCACATGCGCCAAATATTTTTTGAGGGGAGCATAATTTTGGTCGCACGTGGGTGCACTGCCTAACTTGTTCACCTTATCGCATCATCTACATACTTTCACGCTTTTTTATTGTTGTTTTCGGTTCGGCACCAACCTGTCTATTTTGCAACACTTCCAATAACGAAAATGGTCAAAATGCAAAGGCCGAGGTCCATAAAGTAAGCATGAATAAAAAGAGCACGGTGATCAATAATACGGAAAACGCGAACAGCGGACCCGTTTATTGAACGAGTTGTTTGCAAAATTTCAAAACAAAAAAAAAAGAATGAAAAAAAAAAAGCTTGCCAGTGGTTAGGGACGGAGGGTAATTTAAGACTGGAAAGAAAGCGAGAATAGCGCGGCCTACATGACTTCGGTCGACTCTCTCTCGCCTACGGATCACGAATCGTCCCCTTAAAAAATCGTTGCCTCCGTGGCTGTTCAGTTTATTCGTTCAAATTACTAGAGTGCCGCACTTCGCCAAGGTCGCGGAGTTGCAGAGAAATCATCTTCTTGGCCCCAGCGACGATGCATTTTCGAGTGCCCCAAGTCGCTACCCCCCAACGTATATTCACGAAACGGCAAGTGCTGGCCCCTCACTTCTATCGCCCGGCCTTCCCAACTGACCACGTGCACACACACACACAAACACGACGGACGGAGATCAAAGGCAAAAGCCGCCTCCTCAATTAAGCACCGTTTGCGCTCTTCATTACAACACCAGGGGGACGCCGCCACTGTGGCATCGGGGCAGGCGAGGTGGAGGGGTTGTTTGGAGGTGTATATAGGCATGCCGGAGACAGAAGCCTCGCCGCGCGCGATAATGGCCACCAACACAGTCATCCTATTGTGTATAGATGCCGCAAATGGGTGGCCATGCGCAGGAACACGTTCATGCGACACAATGTGACAGCAAAAGGCAAAGAAGGCCGGGGATGGCGTTGCGAGGAGGGAAAAAAGAATGTCAAAAGTGCAACAAAGGAAAAGCCGGTTGTTTACCGTGGGAACGGACATTAGCTGTGTGGGTCCCGATACCCGAGTTTCTTTCCTTTTCTTCGGCATACTGATGCACAGTTGCACTCGGTAGTTTATAATACGCATGCCTGCAGTGGGCTATTTAGTGTCGAATAAGCAGGTGGGGCGCTAACTCTGCGCAAAAGGTGGACTTTTGCGTGCTATCTTTAGCACTGCGAGAACCTGCGTTCCAATGTGACCAGACCGCGTCTTTGTGCGAGAACGGGAACAATACATAAAGCTCAATATGTGTGTACCGGTAAGTACCACTTTTAGTGCTTGCAGCAGTTTTCACCTTACTTGAAGTAAAGTAGCGAATTGGGCTAGTTGGAACCACTTTACAGTGATAGAAAATAGAATTAAAAAAATATGCAAAGTAAACACGGAAGAGCACCATAATCTGCCTTTTTTTTGGTGTCACTGTGCGAAAATATAGGAAAAAATGTACGAAATCTATGAAAAAAATCTGAAAAAGAAAGACATAGAAGATGAGTGATAAATCGAGATGCATCAGTGTGCTTGCGAAACATTTCGTGTGAAGCCACTTGCTCGTATGCTGCGCACGTTGCAATACGCATCCGGGACAGGCAGGCCCCGAATTCGCCTTTAGGCATGACGATAGTTATAGCGCGAGAACAAAACGACGACACAGAGACAAGAAGGACACGAGTGTCGTCGTTTTGTTCTCGCGCTATAACTATCGTCATGCCATACCAACTAGCCCAAGCTGCCACACTTCTAAGTCGCTTTTAGGGATTGGGGGCGTAACGCCGTAACGCCGAATAAAAGAGCGAGTCTCAGAGATTTGCCGATGGTTTTGCAATGACCAATACTTTACGCTCCCGTGTACCTTGCATGTGCAGAAGCGAAGTGTTAGCCAGCTTTTCACAGCGGTAAGTATTTAGGATGTTTGAATTTACAACGAACTGCTAGGTGACTTCCTGGATTTCGCTTCGGTATCACCAGTCCATGATTTGACGTCCTCGTCACTGCCACTGTCCCTCAAGGGCAACTCATTATCATGCTGGGGTCCTCTGAATCCGAGTTCGCCGTGTTATCGCAATTATTACGAAAATTTCTGCGAAGTTCGTATCGGTTGCCATCATTCACTGTGACTACTGTTCAGGAGCTTTAAGCACCATGGATGCTTTAAAGGCCACCATAGCAACTAGCGGCTGGAAATTAACTAAAATGCCACGTGTTTTTTTTTATCTCATATTAAAGACAAGATGAATGTAAGGTGCGGTATTGCGGCAACACTGCGTTTGATCGCTGTCATGCGTCTTTACAACTATCGACAGTATATATATTTTATTGAGGTGGTATCGCCAACGTTAGCGCAAGACAAATAGTACCAGTAAGACTTGTCGATGCCCGATTTGACAATACACGGCTCCTGTATTACCAATATTTATATTTAGGGTTTAATACGTATGAACCACGATATGGTTATAACTCGTATTGTCGTGAAAAGATCCGGAAATTTACCATGCACGGGCTTCTATAATTTCGCCTCCGTCAAAATGCGATCGCCGCGATCGGCATCAAACCCGTGGCTTTTTTAAGGCCAGCAGCTGTGCACCGCAACCACTACACCATGGCTAGAAATACGGTGGTTTGAAATACGTTGCCCAACTTTTCTCTCCCGGGTGGAGTTATGAGTATAGAATTTGTCCCACAAACTAAGAACGGGCTTTGTCCTGCGTCATTTTTTTTTTGTTGTTGTTGTAAGTCTCGCATGATATGAAAAAGCTTTCCGTCTTTACCAAAGTTTCGATCTTTACAGTTTTCTCCAGCTTATATTTTTCTATACTATACAGTCCATGTAGAAGGTACTTTAGGAGAGCGCCGTTCGCGATATGTCTGTTTTGCAACGACAACACGCATTCCACGCTTGGAACAATTTTCGACTCTATTCGCATCACAGGAAACGTTTTACATGTTAGATATTGACAATATTATATCGGTTCGTTGGTACATAACGATGAAGAATATGAAAATCACCAGAACGGGAAAAGAAACACACCATGATAGCAATATCGTTATATATACAGCCGCTTATACAGTCATCGGGTTCGGGCACGTTTTCAAGCATGACTAGTTTTTAGCTTGTTGCCAATAATAGGTCTTCTCTAAGTCAAGGCTTCGTCGACGTTCTCGCTCGCGCGTGGTCGCGGTATCGCGCATGTAATCGCTCGTTGGCCGCGCGCAATGCGTCACGGCTCTGCGTTCGGTGGTGTGTGTTGCACCACGCTCGGAAAGAGGCTCGCCCGACACATCCTTCCGTGGAGGAAAAAAAAAAGCGAGTGCGCGTCACGAACGAAATAAGGAGGTCGCCGATATGCATGCACCGAGTACGTATTCTGCTTCAAAACAGCTCGTCCTCGCTCAAGACATTTTTTTTTTACTTCTTTTTCGAGAGGTGTTATTTTTGACTACCCATGTACTTGAGTAACAGCGCTCACGATCAGGATATGCCACAACTCATATTCTGTGAAGCGGCTATTTGCGCTTATAAGGAACTGATTCCAAAAATTCTTCAATATTCATG